TGTTGGAAGTACCGTATTAACCACGAACTATTGCACCGATAGGATCTTTTCAGTAGGATAGTGGTTCACTTGCTCTTCTCACCCTAATAGTTTTTCCCGTTTTTTCAATATTTTTACACAGTTTTTATGAATTTCGGGTGATTTTATCATCTGAAGGGATCTGTTTTCAGTTTCCTCGGAATCATATCCAGAAGAGCTACAAGACATGAAATCAGACGTTGATGAACTCCCGCTGAGGCAAAATGGACATCCAACTCCCGGTCTAGAAAATCTTATCGAACTTCCAACTTTGACAACCAGCAACTATTGGTCATTTGATGAGGGAAGTGGGCATTCACCTGCTGCTCTCAGACCTGTTGAGCCACTATTCAAAAAGCTTGTTCCAATCAGTTTCTATGATGAAGCTTTTGTTGATATCAGCAACGATTTTGCTGACTTGAACAGTGCTCAGGAGACATTCACCGTTCCACCCACAGACCCTGAAGATTCCTTTACGATCATAAGTGTTTCGGAACGGAAAATTCGTCCCCGAAATGGTCCCTACGATAAACTCACCAATTCCACACCTCGGGATCCACTCCAATCCGGCAACGATTTTTTCGATTCGAACGATGCCCAGTGGTCGTTCACCGTCCGGCCCATGGAGCCTGAAGATTCCGCTACAATCATAAGTGATTCTGAACGAGAAACTGGCTTTCCTGACGATCCTCTCGATGAATTCACCATTTCCACACCTCCGAATCCACTATCTCCTGCCATTGCTTTGTCCACGACTCCAACTCCTTCCATTCATAAGTTCATTCTTGAGAAAGGACAGACCGAGCCTTCATATTCTTCTTCTGAAGAGACCACTCCCATTCCTCTGATGTCTACTACCCAAACAACTTCTGATGAACCATACGTTACTATTTCTCTTCCGCTCATTGAAGAGGACGATACTGCTCCACGACACATGCCTTCTGAACCTTTTGACACACCAGCACCGATCTTGACCGAACGTCCATCAACTTTCCAGGAGGTTCTAGAGAATGTTTTGACAACTCATCGAATATCGTACGATAAAATCAACGACGCTGAAGTTAAGCGTGGTCCTAAACTTCCTCACAAGAGAGGCTCAGGAGTGGTCACATCAGAAAACAAGCAAATCTCAACGCCGAAGAACGAGCTCATTCAAAGGAGAATGATGTCTGCTTTTGTAAGAGCGGCTGGAAGACGAATTGTTTCTCGCGATGTTCCACTAGCGACGAAGAAGATGAATATGTTTAAAAGATCGAAGGCGTTACGAATGCCTCGCAAACGAATGCATCGAAAAAATCGCTCCCATGGGAAGGTAATGGAATGATTAAGTATGAAGATGCATTCCGCGGTGAGCTGGATTCTTTGCTTACTACGTCCACACTATGACAACTTGGAGGCGGGTATTCCTGGAAGGGGCGGGCCTTTCTGCTTTTAAAAGTCTAGTGGGCTGAAAATTCTTCTGCTAGTGTTGAGTGATGAGTGCTGCCCCAGTATCGAGTCTTAGCGCGGAATGCATCTTAAAAACTTGAAAGAATTGAAGTGATTTTCATTTTCAGATCCATTTATATGAAATACAACGAAATATTTCGGGATGATCGTCATCTTCGGAAGAGGACTACCTTAATGTCGTCGCATCTTTTCTTAATACTGCACTTACGAAGTTGTTGGTTGCTTTATTTTGCCCTGTATTGCACCTTTTCAAATGGGTGTTCCCCAAGCGGCAACGGGGAGCTCTTGATTGGCTGTCATGGATGTCCCCCATCCACAGGTACCCAGCTGATCTGTAGTGAGAAGTGAACCTTTTAAAGAGTATAGGCTTGTTGAGCGTATGGGTGGCCGTCAAACGACAAGGTTAGCGCTAGTGAGGCGTGGGAAGTGACCTGAAATAGGTAGCTTACGTCAGGAGGAGATAGTGGCGGCGCGGGAAGGACAGCCAATCGGAGAAGCTTTGTTCGCCCTTCCTCGGGGCGTCCTCATTGGCCCCCCACGCAATTCTCCAATCACAGTAGAGTTGCTCCCTACGTTTAGTGCACATAATTTCTTTACTCATGGACATGCTGGTATTTAGGTTGAATTTCTTATTACTCAGTAATCAACTGCTTTATAGGGGGATCACTCACTACTGGCCAGTTTCCACATTGGGTCATATATTTTCTTTCATAATTGTTTATCTGGTACTGTAGAATACTGTGATTTTTTTTGTAGTGGTACTCAGTTTCATGTACGTCTAATTTACATTTGTGATAGTATTTATTTTTATTTGTACAGTAATTTTATTTTCATAAAATATTCAACCTATGATCGACATCGATTTTTTCCCACAATTCTCAAACAAACAGATGCGTGAGTTGGTCACATTTTGCTTTTTGATTTTCCAGTTCGTTGACGAATAGTGTTTTCAATTTGTTCCCAATCATCACTTGACATTTCGTGGAGATGCGATCCAAAGGAACTGTTATGGTTCAGGAACTGTTGTCCGCCATCGAAATCGATTATCTTAAGAATAATAACAAGGTAAAGAGATCGACATAAGCATGATAATGAAAGTTTGGAGGGCATTTTGTTTTTTGGCATTTTTGCTCTTATTTGTAAATATTTTTTATTTATGCTCAAAACTATTTTTATGTATAGCTCTAGAATACATGAACTTACTGCTCCGTTCATCCAACTGGCAAAATCGGAACAGACATAGGCAGCCAAGTTTGCAAGCTCTTCTGGTTGCCCAAGTCTTCCTACGGGTATGAGGCTAGCAGCCACTTCTTCCATATCTTTCGGTGAACCACTTGATAATCGGGAGAAAGCACCCTGAAAAAAAAATCAATCTGAATCATTTCCAAGTAACAAAATCCTAGAATGCTGAAGGAAACTTCATGAGGGAGTCGATACTATCCTAACTACCGTACTATAATAGCAGCAGGTAAAGGGAATTTACACAGCTATAAACTTTTCACAGGGAAATGATGCAGCTGTAGTCCTTATGAATTATCGATCACTGTTTTTGTTTGCCATACAGTAACTACCATAATCAATAAAATAAGAACATCTCCAAAACTCGATTACCTCTGTAGGAATAGGCCCAGGAGCAATAACATTGAATCTCATTCCATATTTGGCCCATTCTGAGGCCAGAGATCGTGTCATGTTTTCGACACCGGCTTTTGAGATCGCTGACGGCACTACGAACGCTCCACCATGTCTGAAACTCTGAGCATTAGGTAAATGAGTAGGTAAATCGGGATGACAACACTTTCGAAGGCATAGGCTGAGTTCTGGATGTAGGCGGAGGGCTCCTAATGGGGTCCTAAGCATCTAGCTAATGGGAACCGTGTTGAAGAGAGTACTGTTCATTGTATCGTTGAGGCGGTTGAGATTGGCACCGGAGCGCTCCGCCCGCACCCTTAGTGGCAACGAGGCTACTAGAACGAAAAATAGAACTATCGGGTAAAAATCACCAGCATCGGCTAAGCAAAGTTGACTGTAAGGATAGACAGACGGACATGACTGTAGGAATGAATAAAAGACAATAGTCATTCAACGAAATTAGACTAAATGTCCTGATCTTCAAGTTTTTTGCTCTTTTATATTGAAAATGGTAGTACCTTGCATAAGGTGTTGTGATACTGAGAACAGTGCAACCTTGCTTTGCCTTCATAGCACGGCGGCATACTTCGGTGGTAACGTTCATTGTTCCGAGCAGAACAATGTCCACTACGGCCTTGATGGCGTTCGGGGATAGCTAAAAAATTGCTCAAAAGCTTGTGTACATTAATCAGTACAATAAACGATGTGAAAGGTCTTCCACACAGAGACCGTCATCAGCAATTCATTGAGGTCAGCCTCTGTCGCTGCACTGACGAGGTTCTATACTTGAACAGTCCTCTCACTCTCTTAATTGACCCACGCAGGGATGAAAAATGAATGAACCTGAGGCTGAAACTGGGTTAAACTGGAGCTTGGGTTAAAAACGCTCCAGCGGCATGCCGCGTAGTGACACAACTAGCTAGGAATAATTGTAAACTGTGGGCAGATCCGCCTTATCGTTATACACTTTTAAGGAGCAATATTCAGAAAAAAAAACATCATACCCGTTCAGTTGCCATAATGAAGTTTCCTGCAGCATTGTTCACCACAATCGTTGGAGGCTTTCCGAATCTGAACGTATCCTTATCAAGTGAAGAGAGTATAGGCTACAAAGGATACAAATTCTACAGTCGAACGGATTTTCAGATTTGGGTTCATTATGCTCAGTAGAAATAGATGAGTTCTTAATTTTCAGTCATTTTCTGGCCTATTGGCTTTGGTAATCCTTCAAGGATAGTTCACTCTGACAAAAGGCCGATTGTAAGAAAAAACTCCTGGTTCGGTTCCAAGTAACCAGCCTGTTCATTAGTTTACCTTTCAACGATGTCGTCGAGGGTTTTCGAGACCAGCAAAGGATCTTTTACATCCATACGGAAGGCTTCACAGACTCCACCGGTTTTGTTTTTGATTTCCGTAGCCGTGGCCGCTAAGACGTCCATTCTTCTATAATTTTATAAATTAGAATTTACTGTACTCTGCTAGCGGATGAATGCAATTGAATCGTATTTTCGGGTTGGGTATAAAAGAACGTGTGAGGGGTAGGGGTGGGAAGTAAGGAAGTCTCGTACTGATATCACTTAGCTCAGGTCTTCCGACTATTTTTTTTTTGTAACGTTATCTGCAAAACCCCATGAACTCGGAAACTTTGACTTCGAATAAACGTTTTCTTCGAAAAAACAAAGAAAGATCCAACAATATTTGAAAAAAAAAACGAAAAAAAAAACAAAAAACACGAAAAAATCGAAAAACAGTGTTCCCATTCAATTTTCAGAGAACCGGAACGGGTGATTCATTCAGAACCTAGCAGACCCCTCATAAATTGGTCATAAGGAAAACTTGGAAGTTTCAAAACGCAAGGACTTCGAGCGAGTAAACCTATCGTTGAAATAACAAAATTCCCGATAGAAAAACAAAAAAAAAATATTTAGAAATGTGGAAATTCCCTTTGAGGCAGTTCATTTGGCCTTCAAATCAGAGAAACTTTCAATACTTTGGAGTACCATCAAAGTAATCATGTATGTACCTGGCAGCAATGGCAACCTGTGCACCTAATCCGGCAAACATAGTGGCAATGGCTTTACCCAGTCCAGTGCCGCCGCCTGTCACCAATGCCAGTGCACCCTGAAACGGATACTTCCTGTTGACTCGGATTTTTCGAAGAGTTAGGACTGGTTTTCTGAATTTTTCAAAAAAAAAACCCTCACCTTCATGGCGTTTGAAGGCAGTGCGGGTGTTTTTATTGGTTTAAAGAATTTTTCAGGTGCTTGACAAGCCATTTTTACGATTTACCTGCAAGTAATTGATGAAGAATTCGGGATCCCAGGTCCTTTGAGGGAAGTGACTCATGAAAAAGCTCCAATATAAATTCCACAAAAGGTGTTGGAGGAGAGGTGAGATCAACTGCTGCATCAGAATGAGACTTAAATGAAATAATAACTGTTCTTTTTAGTTTTCTAAACATCCCTCCCTAACTTCTTTCACTTTGAGGAAGCCCCTTTCTGTCACGATCAACTCTGAGTAGAAAAAAAGCGGGAAGAAGGAGAGTTTCAGAAAAAACAGTAGAAGTTGGAAAGGAATCGACCGCATTCTAGTGCCCACCAATCAATCGATGAGCGGTCTAATCGAATTTAGGAATGTTACCGCTAAAGTCTATCTATGAGTAATATAAAATGAGTGAGGCTATCCTTGGTGTATTTACTGGAGTGTAAAAAGGAAGCGAAAAGAATGGCGAGTAAGTCAAGCACAGAAACCAGTTAATCGGAGTTTCCCGATAAGAGTAGGAAGGCCGCTGGAAGATGATCGGTGAACTGAACGGAGTGATAACGGGCTAGAGTGTAGTACACAATCAATACGTACTCTACTTTGATCGGATATCTCAACCATTACCGAGGAGAAGTGTTTTTGTTTATTTGCTTATTTGTTTTCTCATGATATCGCTGGAAACTTTCCAAAAGCTGTCGTAATACTTAAATACTTCAACAATCTGTTCGAACGGCTTTCTAACCCCCAAAAGATTTAAGAACGAAAAATGATTTATAATTTGTAATACACTCTTTTATTAAAACGAATTTAAATTTTTTTATGCTCTGAAATCCGTTTTATAGAGAATTTCTATTTTAGTTTTTTATATTTTCGAATTTCTTTCATAGCATCGCTGATCTGCTGCAAGAGTGGGGCTTCCATGGGAGGGTCTGGAGTATTTTGAACGGAAAACGCCAAAAACCTGTCGAAAGTTGAGCATCACTTTTTGAGCTCAAAATCCTCCGTATTCTGAATATACTCCGCCTCCAACCTTCGAGCATAGTGAAAGTATCCCAAGTTACTTCTTACAAACTGATATACTCGTCACTGCAAAGGAGTAGCTCGGTAACATTCGGAGCCTCTTTGGAGGTGCAATACGTTGCCTTGTTCGTGTCCTGATTACTCAGACAACGTTACTCGGGAAACTTGCTCATCTGATTCCTTTATCTTCGAAGAGACGTGTGTAAGATGAAGTGAACATTAGCAGAACAATCAGTTAATTCTTCTTGATTGATTAATTGGTACCAGATCTGTGTCAGCGTATGAAGCAGCTGAACAGCGCCGATAATTATATGGACCATGTGTAATTCGAGGCTTACCAAGATTCTAGACTAATTGTAAGGTAGAATGCATGGCGCATCTCCAAGGGATTGATCAATATTGAACACTCTCTTCTTCACTAGTTGTATTTTGGTATACTATCCGTGCTGTTCTCGGGCTCTGGATGCTTGTAGCTTGCCTTACCTTTTACTTCCTTCCTATGACAGGGAATGCATGAGCTTCTCATTAGGGATGTCAGTGGAGGGGAGAGGTGGTCAGACAGGTTGCGGGCGTTACGACTAATCCCCACGGTAAACAGTCAGGAACTTTGTGATTGATTAGTTGTTTGATTTGGGCAAAACGAGCTGCTTCCATGACCTCATCGGCCATGTATTTGAATAACAGAGTGCCGATTCATATTCGTACTCATGTAAACAGTACCTGAGTTATCAAGTGCCTCCACTGACATGGCGAATACCAACACTTTCAAACTAAATATCAATATTTACGTATACAACAGACTTTATTTATTGTTTATTTATGCGATTGTTCAAGTTCCATAAACCGTGTAGAAGCATGTTCCGCCATTTCCCAGCGATTTCAGACTGCCATAAATCTTCGTCGACATTGCTATTCATTAGTAAAACAACATTACTTGTTGACTATTTTCTAAATATTTCATTGAGAGGACAATGGGAACCAAAGGATTAGCTGACCTCGAATGGACTAGAACGCATGCGATCACGATTTATGGCCAATCCATGGAACATGAACTGCTGTCAGAGCTCAACCCATTGCATACACTGTCCAATGGATAATTCTTATCCCCAGCAGAGCTGAAATTCCAAAAAGTAAAGTGTTAATCATTGTAAAATTGCCTATCGCCATTTTGAATGAATGTTCAGCTCATGGCTTATCCAAAGTTAGTGTTGCCGATTCATATAAATTAGTCGAATGAACTGTGAATAGTTGGGTTAAAATTTACCCTCAGTCCACACCTTTCCTCGAAATTACAAGAGGATGTTGAGGGGATCGGGGAGATTCAGGGAGAAAGGAAAGCGTCTTTTTTCATCCTTCCATCCACTTCTACCTCTTTCTGATAAGTACGTGATGTGGAGGGCTATGTGAGAAAAAAAGGGGGGGGGGGGATGGTTGGGGGTGGGAGAAGGATGATGAAACATGGGTGATGACTCAAACTTGTGAAATTTTTGTGAAATGCCCATCACATCACCACACGATGTGGTCCTTTTCATCCCTTCGCAGATACAACTCTCCCGTCCCCTCTCTGAATAAGACATACAGCCCCTATGTCGCCAAGAAGAAGCTGAATGGATTCGTACTTCCTCAGGCTCTGAGCAAGTCCCCTTCTCTTCTCCTGCTTTCTGCGGCTTTTAGAGCTCCTTTCCTGCGCCGGTTGACGGAGGCTGGCAGTGACATTTACTCTCTAAGATTCCATGAATACCAATTACAGTGAATATGGTAATGAAGCTGTTCAGAATGTGAAATAAACTCGCGCTGATCGCGTGTGGATGTCCATCAAACTCATCGAAATGCATACGACTGTCGCGTTCATAAGTGAAACCTTGCCTGAGTGAATTAGATGATGGAACGAACCACCATTACAATGGGGAATTATCGTTAATTATTCAATTTATTATGGAATGAAGCCGTATACTCGGTACGGCCATTGAATATTTTACAATCCGTACCTTTGTGAACGGTATGGAATGGCGGCAGCTGATTGATGTCCGCATCGTGCATTGACCGAGTACTCCTTGCCCTTTGACTAGGCTAATTATCGAGTAAATGAGAGCAATCAAAAGTAAACAGCTTTTTTTCGAGCAGTTCCTCATACAGTACGCCTAGGTGCTGTTAGAGAAAGAGCCATCCGAAAATAAAATTATTTAACCAACGTCATGATAGATTACTTTGAGTTTGTGGGTTCCGAATTATCGGGTCTTTTGACTCTTGCACTGGCAAGTTGTAAAACTGAAAAATAATAACTAATATCAATAATAATCAACAAAGTAAAAGCAGATTAGGGTGAAAAGTTCAAGTTGAATATTGGTAGCTTCAGCATTTTTTAGTAAATTAGTGCGTATAGTAACAGTCGGTGGACTCTAAATTCATTCCCGAAATGCTCAAACCCTTCCATGCTACCTATACATCTAGGAAATACTGACTTATAGTTATCAAGTTTACGCCATTGTTGACGTATGCTAAGCTGAAAGAATTCGGAAAACGATTTTGAAGATTATGTAGTCAAATGTCCAAAGACGTAGAGCGTCCCTAGGGGATCCTTCTAGATCGGGAGATATGGCACTTCAAGCGGCAGGGAGAGAGAACAGTCGTAATGTACAAGGCATTCCACAAGTAGGACCTTATATAGCGATATTTATTTTGGAAGACGTTCTCAGTTATTCATTTCAAGTATTTATTCATTTGTATCGAAATAATTGTTTTACTGCAATAATCAATCAGTGAAGAATGTTTGATGATGCCATCTACTTTTCTTCATATGTTGCAGGATAAAAAATATTGTTTGTTTTTTCAAAAGTAAAATATACTATAAAACTCTCTATTATTGAATACTGATGTTATTGATAGTGAATAAACATTTTCTCTTCGGTATAAAGTAGTGTTGTGAGTGGCTCATGGTCTTGAACAACGATGAAGAGCTCAAGTTTCCCAGACGCTGAGTTCCAGTGGGCTCCTAGCGTCAGCTAATGAACAGGTATAGGATTTAGTTGTACTCACTTTCACACCGTGCTAATGATCCTGTATGACCTTGTACCCAGCTCCCCGCACATCCATAACCCTCCATCTATGCACTCTCAAATCCCCACCTCTACTCCATGATTAGACAGCGTAAACAATAGCCGAATTACTTGCTAATCCTTCATCTTGGAACAATACCTCTCCAAATTGTACTGGGTTGTTTATGGGCTATGTTGTGCCCTGAGACAGTAGCCACGAACGAAATGAAAATAGATTACCGGATTCATCATCTAATAAGATTTCTTGACGCCAGCAAAAGTAGTCACTTTGCAGCAGCACCAGGAATTAATGCAGGATAGCGCTGTAGTATAAACCAAAATCGGTAGGTATCAATCAAAATCATTCATTTAGTTCTGAGGTGCCGCTCCACTAGACTTAATCCTGATCAGAATTCCATCGGTTGATTGAAATGGAAGTTCAGACTGTAAAGGTCTAGTCAGGGATTCGATCCTTGGACCATCGATGTGATTGCGAATTACGTGCTGCTACTACACCTTTACTTTAACTCCCTATGGCCTATACCTTGCCGGTATACCTGGCTGGGCAGTACACCTGAGAAGGGCAACCGCCTATTTCCAACAGTAACTGTGCAGCTTTTCTGAACTCAACTTCCTACCTCCAGTCCTAGCTCTGTCGTATTCCTGGCCTCTAGGTTTACACAGTGAGGTTGCAGGTTGGGTGCGTGCAAGTTTGCCCGTCAAGGAATTTCCTTCAATTCGATCAACCCTGACCGCAATGAGTCGTCGTCGTAGTCGTTGTGATTTTTGAATTGACTCGTCCTTGCGCTATCATTCATTCATCAATCCCTGTGTTAACGATGGCATCTCATCCGCTCTCAACCATCACTGACTGTATGGACCACCTGCACCGCCTTTTGCATGTCTTCGAAAATACTGTCAATCTCTAGTCTTTTCAGAAGACATACCACTTAATGGGATTCGATTGCCACTACATGGGCTAATGATTCTATTGGATTTGAATTTGAAAAAAACACTCAAAATCAACTTTGAGATGAAAGAATCGGAGTGAAATTTCTCAAGGATGGTTGAAGGAGGAAAGGCGCAAGTCAAGCATTCTAGGATACGCCCTGCATCAAACTTCCTCTACACTACGTTACGCTACTTAAAAATTTGTCTCTTCGCAATATTTGACACGTTGACAGACCAACAAATCCGACTCGAAGGATGCATCAGACTGATCTGATTTGATAAAAAAAAAAGAAAACTTGTTATTGATATGACATCTGATCATGTGTTTATTTACTTGTTTACCTCTATTACGCCACTGTTATCTCATTGATTACTTTCAATTGGATTATTATTATTCGATGCTACTGAGATCTTGAACTAAGGCGTGGGAGACGGTGAATTTGGAGTAGCCCAGGTAAAGGGCACTCTCTAGATGATCTAGGGAAGCTTCAGTATAAAAGCAACCTCACGGGGAGCTGCCCCTTCCCAACCCCCCTTTCTTTGGAATTGCGCATTTGATTAGCGGTTTGTTTACTTATCCAGTAAGTTATGAGTAAAAATTGAAGTCAGTAGAGCATAAAAAATTCAATAAGCAGATGCATCAAAAAGACAAAATAACCACACAGAATAAAGATGGCTCGTTTCGCTTCTTCACCAGACGAACGAACCACCGTCTCCACCTTCCCTTGAGGCTCATCAGTTACTCATCCAGTAAGTAAAGGTATTAGTTGGGACTGGCGAATTCTACTCAGTTATTCGCATGGCACCTCGGGTAGGGTTTGTTGGTTTCCGTTGATGGATGAGCCCCGCCCACTGAGGGCACCCTAGCCCCACCCCCTCTACGATCGGTCGCTCGGCAAAGGTCATTGTGCCATTTGAATCGCCTCCGCTACGGACGACGACAATGCCCTCACAGCCAGCTACCAAGCATATACCGCAAAAGCTTCGGCGAAATGAGCGTGAACGGAAACGTGTTGATCAGGTCAGTCGAGATTCAGTCAGATTCCAGTGCGCCCTGCCCATTTCCTTGAATTTTTACATTTTTCTCTGAATTCAGGTGAACCAAGGCTTCAATCAGCTTCGATTGCGGGTTCCCAAACCACATGGCTGCAAGCAGAAGCTGTCAAAAGTGGAAACACTTCGGGAAGCAGCTCGATATATCGAACAGTTGCGGGCGATTCTTCAACAGGGCAGCTATCATCCTGTTCAAGTTCCCCAACGGGTCCTTACCCAGCAGCAGCATCAACCACAATACTACCATTCACCCGACATTTCTCCCTACTATCCTCAGCCCATGTCGAAAGCCACTGACTACTCGCCGGCTTCCTCTTACTATAGCGATTCATCGTTCGAAGAACAAAAATACGGTAATTTTATGCAGTAAACATTCTTGTTTACCATCAGATAATTTATTGATTGTTTAGCTTTTATTTTCGGATTGTCTGTTGCTTTGATGTTTACCTTTCTTGCTATTGACAGTCACGCTTCATCGGGTTCTCAGATCTGCACATATTGTTCGCCGGCTATTTCAAGGCCTATCACATTCCGTCTCACTTTAGTTTTATTGAAGTTACGTGTATTTATGTGCTACTTTGATAAATATTAATAAAAAAGGTTATTTTTGCAATTTTTGGGTCAGATGAAGTAGGGACTGATGGAGGTTCCATGGATGGAAGGGATTGTTTGGCTTCCGAGCCACCCAATTACGCACTCGTTTTTGCATAGTCGTAGAACGGCGTATGCCCTTTGCACGCCTTGTTCGACGAGATGCAAAAAAATCGCGTGAACCACGCGTCCATTTAGAAGAAATTCCTCTCTCGACTGACTGCCTGCCTTTAGGGCCCCGAATAATCGGCGCCAACAAAGGCAATTCGAAGGATATTGAAATTCGGACGGAAAAGGTGAAAATGATGGGGGCGAATGACCGCCTAATATAAGCTTTGCATTCAACGGGAAATTGGAGAGGAGCGATGAATAATTTTCTCTTTTGCTCTCGCCGAATCCAGCAGATTTACTTTCATAACCGGTAGAATATCATTCAGCTTTCTTAGACCTTCCCCGAACTGCTAGAAGTGGGGAGAATTCGTTCATGAGAAGTTAAAAGTGAGGAGCAGCACCTTCACTCAAACTTCTTGTACCTAAATACCTGTGCCCTCCTACCCTATTTTCCTCCAGGTGAGGAAGGACTGCAAAAGGGAAGAGGCCGAGTGATGGAGTGTCACTCTGTTCATTGAAATCGCCTGACTTGAGCTTCGAAGAAACCCGGACGAGAACCACCTCATTCTGGTGATCACCTGCTGCTCAGGCTCATCAAGAAAGGAACAACCTGGGAATGACCGTAGTACCTAAAGCAGTCCTAGATTCACAATTGGAGAAAGATCTTGCCAAGTTCTGGTTAATAATTCTCAATTCAGCTTTTCAAAGTGGGAGCAGGCCAGAGCCCTCCTTTTCATGAGAATAAGGCTCCACAAGTTGCGGAGTGATTGTTTTACGGTCGCTTTCGCGGCGGCTGAGGGTCCCACTCTTCATTTAGCTGACGAATTTCAAGTGGTTGTCTTGAGAATATCAATACGAGCCGATTGTCTTGGTAACAGAACTGAAGTCGTGGATGAAAAAAGCGAGAAATTGAATTCCTTAAATAGCCCTTTATAACCTGAAGACTTATACACTTGGCTCCACCCGCTCTGAGGAAGGAAAGGAAAAGTTTCGACGGCGGATTCCAGAAAAACACGGAAGAAAAGATAAATGATGGGAAGGAAGGGTCGTTCTCGAGCATCAGCTCAAGAGCGAACAAACCTGTAGAGCTGATGGACAGATGCGCATGCGTTGGAGAAAAGCCGTGACCTGGTCATGCTGTAAGTAATCCGAGATCACCTTACATGAACAGCATCACCTCTAATCCCCCTCATACAGCTTACTCATTTACATAAGTCATTACAGTTCATGAGATACGTCGTATATGAGATGCTTGAGTGCTCAGATGGATGGTCAGATGTCAGGTGGGAGTTTTTCTTGGGAAGAATATCACTAACCATGTTGTAGTTACCCATCCTCCCCAAGTAGCGCAACCTGTCACTGTCGTGTCTTAGCGCGACATGTGGCGCAACCGGTGATTGCGTCATATTTATCGCCATACCGTAAGCCAGCCTTTAATCATATCATGTAGTTTGTCTGACCTGTACAGAAGGATTAGCTGGATCAGCCATGGACTTGTAAGGAAGAATTAGGGAGCTTGGGCTCTGAGTGGTCGAATCTTTCTGATCTCTCCTTATTGATTCCGAAAGGCCCTTTCTCCTAGGTTCGGCTGTCTTTTAGGCAATTATAGGTAAAAAATGGGATTTTCTCTCAATTGGTAACTATTTCCCTTTGTGAGGACGTAAAATTGTTTACTTTTTATACATTTTGGTTTCGTCGATGTTCGAAAAAAAGCAATAAAAAANAAAAAATTGAAATAAAAAAAACAGAAATATCCATACATGCGTTTATACTTTTTATGGTTTCTTGGATTCTTCATGAAGAGTTTGTGCAATTTGTCAGTTGAAAAATACTGTCTTATATTGAAAAAAAAAGAAGCTTCCGAGTGTGGCTTGAATAGTTCCAGTGACGGCGAGAACTCTATATAGCGGAAATCGGGACGGCTATTCCGGACCTCGGCGATAAGATGATCGTTTTCCATTGCTCTTCTTACCGAACTATCGGAAAATTCAATTTAAACCAACCTTCAAATTTTATCCTGCACGCTCCACTTTTCTGCACGCCATTATCAAAGAAAAACAATAAATGAATCTACAATAAAGCAAAATGTAATACAGGTGACACGACCGGTATGATAATCAGATAATACAAATAGAGTTATCAATCCTATACACTCAGCTGCTGCCCAGCGTCTAAACGGGGAGTTCAGACATTTTTCCCCTTATTCTTCCTCTTCTCCCTAACGATAATCGGGCTCAGTTGCAGGGTTGTTGCCGCTTCTTTCTATCTACAGCATTTTCTGCAGTTACCTTGAGAGAAGGAGAGGGTTTCCTTGATCACAACCCTCTACCGCCACTTTTTCCACGTCTACGGGATAACTGGCAATGCAGGATAACTGGTAATTGTAAGCTCGAATCTTGGTGCCTGTAGCTAATCAAATTTCCGCAACTGACAACGTTCCACTAATCTCATGAGAGTCATCAAGAACTGGGGAAACAGGATCAGGAGAATATCCGTTTTCAGATTGAAATCGGTCCTCTATGGAGGAGGCCCGCTCATAATTTCAAGTCACTTACTTACTCTTACTTACTTAGTCGCTTAAGGCTTCCAATTCAGCATCGGAATTAGCAAGAGAAAAAACTGCAAGACATTTTTGAGTCACCTCACAAAACGTTCTCATGAAACACAGCCAGTTCAGGGCCAGAAGGTCTCTGAAAGGGAATCTCTTGGAATTCCTCAAGCTTCTAGACTGAAGCCCAGACTGAGCTATAACCTGATGGAATCTGTATTGACAGTACCTTATATGTATGTTCGGTTTCCCTGCAAGAACCTTTTTGAGTCCCTACTTAGCATTGAAGGATTCTCATGCAATCTATGGAGGCATATAATTCCCGACTGAGTTCAATTGCCATCGACGTCAACAAGAGCTCCCGTCCCACATCCTTAATCCGTGTCAGTGGGTCTAGCGAACGGATTTTTTCCCCTTGTTCAATGTCAAATAAGATGATTTAGACGAGCCACTTACGGTCGACACCACAGGTGCACGACCGGAAGTGGGTGACCTCGTTTCAGGATGAGGTGGAAGGATTTCAGATGAATTCCCTCGTGTCTTACCTGGGTAGAGGTATCGCTGTCTTCATGTAGGACTTAGCGTCAGTCGGTCGATCACACAGGCTGACAGGCTAATCACTGCCCCTTAATTGGATGCTTGAAAAAGGCGGACCGCTATAAGAAGCTTCATCTGGCGTTCGCCCATTCTCTGTATTACCTACTCATGAGCATATAATCGACTGTAATTGACCCAATGGTACCACTCGAGACGGGCTTTGATGTGCTTTCCGGAAGCTCTGACGCCATTTCCGCATACTTACCCTTCATCATTCTTACCCGTCCGAGAAAGCTGTCTGAGAACGGATGTTGGATGACATCGTTCCAGGTGCGATGCGTATCTCATTTGTCTCGAACAATATGGGTCTATTCACGACTAAGACAAACTAATTGCCGCCTAATTTCAGCTCGCTTAGGGTTCACGCAATGTGGGGGGCTCAGTTGATTGCGTTGACGCCTAAATACGTCCGTTACGGCCGTCTGTTGCGTAATATAGCAATTAAACTGATCGTAAAGAAACAGTACTACATTGATGATACTGATAATATCAGTAAGATTGACATCGGACCAGGTGACAGATACCATAGGTCCTTATTCAACAACATGGCGTATACGATGAATGAATACAGTATGACGTTAATGATTGGCCGCGTAATCTCGTGGTATTGGTCGTAAACTTCGTGGCGATCAGTGCAATTATGCGTCTATTAAGATATTTTATCGCTGCATTCGGTATTGTATTAATTGCTATGAATATAACATAAACATGTGCTCGTGAAATTCATCAAGCATTCACTGTTGTCAACCCGATTCGGGCATTTCGTCCCCGACTAGTCGCATGGGAGAGTAGTAATGAATAGAGTCATTCGGGAATTGGTTAGTTGCCGATGTTGAGCTTCTTCAGAGCAGCATGCTGTCTTTCTGTCTTCGAAAAACGAATCGAAGCGGAAGTCTTCTTTGAGTCTCCATAAGTAGTACTTCTCAGGAAAAAGAGGTTAAGGACGAAAAGAAGGATTAGGATGGAGTGATTGCTAGTGTTCATTCGATTGTTGGAAGTTTCAATGAAAGCATTCCCTAGAAAAAGAAGAAAAGGAAAGGAGGAAGAGAATGAAAATGAATTCGTCAATTTTCTCAAACATTTCTGAATCTCAAGTAAGGTGTTCTTCGGATGGAATGGAGAAAAGAAGGATGAGAGAGAATAATTGCGCACTTCGCCTTATTTTGAGTCCCAAAGAGGATTCCGGGGTACTGTGCTGGAACGGAAAAAGAGGAAGAAGGAGGAGGAAGCATTCGTGCTCTATTGAAAAGGGCTGAAAAAGAACCAGAAATAATAAACTTCGGGAAAAAATTCAAAGCTTAATCTGGAACTGGCAGTCCTGGCAACTGGCGGCATAGTCTCCAGAGATAGTGGGTTGTGGCAATCACTGCGAAAAAGAACGGCGTCGAGGCATTAGTGGAAATATTCTCATTCTTCCTAAGGTGGGTGGATGAGACTCTCTTCATTCCGCAGTAATTTTTTCTTTTTTTTCTTTTTTTCAACCTTTCTCGAAGTTGGGCCGCCAAATGAAATCTCGGCGCAAG